TGATTTCATGGAAGACAGTTTTTCCGTGGATGAAGTGGGGGGTGGTTTCAGGATGACTCACGTGCATAATATTTATGGTGAATTTCATTTCTGTTATTATTACATCAGCTCCACCTCAGATCACCAGGCAGTAGATCCCGGAGGTTGGGAACCCCTGCTCTAGGGGATCAAGACCAAGCTCATTGGTGTGGGCTTCAAGGCCTCGACAGTGCCTGCAACCCCATCTCCGCCCCTTCTCCCTTCCCTTCTTGCTGCAGACCCTGCAGGCTACTTGGGGTGACTTGAGCCTTTTATCTGTGTCTCTGTCTAGGCCTGGCAACACCCCTGCAGGAGGGGACTGTCCCACCCTGTCCCTCAGCTGATCCCACTCTGTCTTCTGCAAGAAGTTTCCTTGGGCCCCCCTTACTAAGAAGCTCTTCTGCTGCGCTTCCGGACAGCTTCTCTGTGCTTCCGGACAGCTTCTCTGTGCTTCCTCCATCCTAGCATGCAGACCCTACTTACTGCTGTGTTCTCATCTGCCTCCCAACTCTATAGCCCCTCCCTTCTGGGTCAGAACCAAGTGCTGTTCACTCCAGTCTATCAGGGGCCTGGCCCAGCTTATGTCCGAGAACTGTACACCAAGGAATCAACCAATGAATAACTAGCTGTTTCCAATATTAATGGAATCAAAGCTTTAGTCAAAGGATTCCAGTGGTGGAATTAAGAATTTGGGTGGGCAGGGCCTTGCTGAAGTTACAATACTTTGACCACCTGATGTGAAGAGCCAACTCATTAGAAAAGACCCTGAGGCTGGGAAAGACTGAGGGCAGGAGGAGAAGGGGTTGACTGAGGATGAGATGGTTGGATGGCATCATTGACTCAATGGACATGGGTTTGAGCAAACTCCAGAAGATGGTAAAGGGCAGGGAAGCCTGGTGTGCTGCAGTCCATGGGGTCACAAAGAGTTGGACACCACTGAGCGACTGAACAACAACGGCCTTGGTAGCAGAAGTCAGAACCATGCTTCTGAATTCAGACTCAGTTCAATCTGTTTAGTCACATCCAAAACTGGTGCTGTAACCAAGACTTCCCAGGACAGGCCCCCACCCCACCCTATATCATCTGCCTGCTTTTTGTTTGTAGAAAAACTTTAGTTGCCTAGGTCTCCCCCCAAGTTCCAAAGAATAAATTTAATCAGAGAAGTGAGAAAATGCAGAAACAAAGGAAAACAATCAAGCAAGACTAACTAATAATAGTGAAGCCATTAAACAAAGTCAAGGACCTTTGGTTCCTCCTAGGAAGGGCTATATAGACAATATCCTGAGCCGAATCCATTGAGCTGTTTTGCAGATTCTGAAACTCCCGCCAGCTGGAAAAAGTTAACTGCATGCCACCCACAAGCACAGAGACCCCAGACAGGTTGGAACCAGAAGGTTGATGATGTGGACTCCTGATTACCTCACAGCCAACCAATCAGAAGAATGTCCATGAGCTGATCATGGACCCTGCCACCCTCTCCCTCACCCTACCTTTAGAAGCCTTTCCCTGGAAACCACTGGGGAGTTTAGGCCTTTTGAGCTGCCTGGACCCCTCGCTTGGCCTGTGGTAAACATGGCACTTTCCTTTGCCGCCACCTGAGTCAGCAGATTGGCTTCACTGCGCACGGGCAAACACACCCAAGCTTGGTTTGGTGGCAATAAGACGGTCGTCTTCCTCCCCCACCCTGACCCTTAACAAGAAGGAAGAGAAAAGATACCGCCCATCCCTGTCTGTCCTCCCGCAAGACAGGAGGGAGGCTGGTGATCAGGTACCTGAATCCCGCTGGTCCATGGTCATGGAGTTCCACCTCCTCGTGATGTCGATGTAGAGGATGTCCACCGCGGCCATGGACAAGCTGCTGCTGCTGAGCTTGCAGTTCCTGCCCGAGATGGGAGAGGACACGTCACTGCCAGACCCAAGCCGCCTGTCCTGCCTGGGCTTCGTGCCTTTGTTTGGGCTCTGCTCCCCCCCTGGATGCCACCCGACCCCCACCTCCACCCCCACAGCAGGAACTAGCGAAGGGTGAATGGCAGCAAACCATTCACTGCCTCTGCAGGGTCCCGTAATGTGGTTCAGAAGGGCTTTAAAGGGCTGGGAAGAGCAGGGACTTCAGGATGACAAGTCTTGACTTGAATCTGGCTCTGCCACTTAGGAGCAAATGGCCCTGATTAAACTAGTTCCCCTTCTTGAGCCTCAGCCTCCTGATCTGTTAACCAGGCAGTCTTTACTAGAGTTACTGTGGGCAGGCACGCTGCAAAGAGCATGATGTGGGCATCAGACAGACCAGGGTTAAAATCCTGGCCCTGCGGCTTCTTCTAGCTGTGTGACTGTGGACCATTCACTTTGGTGCCTGTATTGGCTGGTCTCTTAAATGAAGAGGATAACACCCGCCCACTCGGCTGGTGTGAAGAAGACATGAGGTTGTGCATCCTGGGGCCTGGCACCTGGCTGGGGCCAGGACAACTGCTGATTTCCTTCCTCATCTCTCTCTCTCTAGTTTCCCTCTTTCTCTGCCAAAGCCAGAACCTTCTCAGCCCTGTCAGAGGCTACCTGAGGCTGACCTTTCAGTGAGGGGCCCTGTCCACTCTGGAGAACGGGGCTCGCCAGTCAGAGCATCTGGGTATGAGGATGAGGGGTCTGTTGGAATGGAGGCAGAACTCAGCTGGTCTAGAAGCACCACCTTTTGAAGCGGGTTGTGCTGGGAGGGGAATCCCCACCCAGGCTGGATTTGCCCTAGGAATCCTGAAAGTTACACCCCAGGGCCAGCTGTCTGTTGGGCTGAACTATATTCCATGCTGCTTTCAACCTTTCAAATGTGTCCATGTCCGTCACCCCAGCTAATGATAAAGTGGTTCTTTGGTTTCCCATTTGTCATCATCTCTTGCGTGACTAGTTCCCTCAGGAACCCGAGAGGCTGGGGGTTGATTGGCAAGCAGGACTTGCCTCCAAACCCATGCACACCCCTGGCGTGACTGGGTGGGTGCCCAGCACGGTGCCCAGATGAGGCTGGTGCTCCTTATATGCCAGCATCCTCCCGGCCTCCCGCCTTCCCTCCCTCCCTCCATCTCTCTGGCCCCTCTCCCCTTTCTTCCCCGCCTGTATTCCTCAGGCCATCAATTCACAGCCTGCTTCCTTCCTCCTGGGCTCTGCTCTGTATCTCCATCACAAGTCACCGTGGCAGACTTCAAAGCACATCAGCGCAGTTATTGAGCCCCAGTAACAACATGTCAGTGGACGCAGAGCTTTTCACGTCACCTGTCACCGAGATGGCTCTCTTTATTGGGTCCTGCAGGGGACCCACTCAGTCCCTCCCAAGGTATTCTAACAACCCATGCTGTTCATTTCCCAAGCTTCATTAGAAGCAGCTATGGGTTTTCACTAATTATCATCTCCATGTCCTCTGGACTACCTGTTCCCCACAGGACAGGTGCTCTGCCTGCCTTACCCTGTGGGTTAATGGAATATAAAAAGGGAAACCAGACTGACCACCGGTATACAGTTATTTTTTTCCTGACAGGCAGAAAATAGAAGTGTCAAACCTCGAGTAGGAGCTGTAATTTACCAAAGATGATTCTCCATCTACCCCCTTTCCAAGGTAACTTGTTCTCCCTAGTGATACCTGCAAATACAGTTGATGATAACATCTAGACTGGAGCAGGAAAGGGAGGTAGCCACACTGGCTGCAGTTGACATGAAATGCTTGCGAGAATTCTGATTCTGTAGGCACTTTCTTGGGCACCATCTGTGTGCCAGGCTCTTTCCTGCTCATTAGTTCTCTGGAGCTTTCTAACGTTTTATGAGGGAGGTGTTCTTAGACCCATTTCAATGCTGGGTAAGCTGAGACTCAAGAGAAGGGACATGACTTGCCCAAGACCACATAGCTGGGATTCACATCTGGGCTCCCCTGGAGGATAGGGCTGTGAACTTGGGAACTTTGGGAAGAAGTGGGGAAGTGGCCCAGCCCAGAGCTGCAGGAAGAACCCAAGATTCCAGAGACAGATTCTCAAGTAGCCCAGAAAGGATGGAGCCTCTAGAGAGGCCCTGTTGGGACGCTTTGGGATATAAGGCTGGGGGTGGGGTAAGACAATCAGGGTCACTAAGTTTTCCCAGGTTTGTCCCCGCGGTCACCAATGGACTCAAGCAGGGAAGGTCTCTAAGGGTTAAGACTTTGGAGTGAACTTTTCATCCATCCATCCACTCAATACAGAATTTATTTTGTGTCTACTATGTGTAAGTGGTATTCTGGGTCTAGTGAGTGACACAAAGCTTGTATCCAGATGAGTCTTGGATATGCTCTTGTATGGTAGACGTCATCTCACAGTCTGGGATAAAAACCTGAGGCCTTGTTAGCTCTTGATCATTTGAACCATTTCCCCTTATGCCGTGGGAGGCAGACCCTCAAATTACTAATGAGAGGTGGGATGAATTCTTCAGTGGAAGAGGAGTCCAAGAAATACGGTTACATGAGAAGCCAGAAAGATTCCTAAGAAAGGATGGGCTAGAAATGTACATGCGAAAAATGAGCTTTGGAGTCAAGTGCACATGAGTTTGAATCTTGACTTTGCTATGTGACCTTGAGCAGGTCATTGATACTCTCTGCATCTAAATTTCCTTATTTGTATGACGATATCGTGACTCACCATACAAAGTTATTTTAAGGACTAGCTCAGTGCCTGGCACATATGACAGCTTTCAGCCTTCCTCCATGATGTACAGCCAGTTTCCAGAAAGGATTTTGGGGTTTTTTTGTTTCTTCGTTTCTTTCCAGAATCAGAACATGGGTGCACAGAATGAGAATCACAAATCGTTCAAGTTCATTAGGAGTCTAAGATTAGAAAGATTTGAAATTATCATCCCCATTTCCTCTCAACAACTACTGACATCTCATGGGAAATTTAGAAACCAACTTTTTCCACTCCATAAAACCCTATTTATAGAATTTCTTTTGTGTTCATCCTTCTCTGTGAAAGAAAAGACGCTTATTTTTTCCTGGAGAGCTTTCTGTAAGGTGAAAGTTAACAAATAATCAGTAGTTGTTTAAATAAGAAAAAAATTAACACTACCTAAACATCTTGGCTGGTGGGGATTGGAAAAGACAACTTTGGTTTATAACTTATCTATTTTTAAAGGCTATTGATATCCCAGGCATAACATCTCATGATATTACTGGAAAGAAATCATCACAGGAACAGAGGAAATTTTCAAAGTCACTGAGGAGTTAATGACAGAGGGGGAGGCAGGGCCCCTTGACACTTCTGTTCCAGAACATTCTCACACAGCCTGCTGCCTCTCAGAGAAGAAACCACCCCCCCCCCCCCACAGCTACACATTAGGAAGCATATTAATATCTCCTTACGAGAAAAGGCAGCGGAAGGAGGGAAAAAAAGGCAAAAGAGAAAGCCGTTTTCTAATTTAGAAGGTGCCTGGGATTAGAAACCACAGAGGAGCGGAGTGGGGGGTCTCCAGGCAGAATGGCCGGGCGTGAAGCGAACACTCGAGGTGTGGAGAAGCTGCCTCCATTTTCTAGAAATAAACTCCGGTTTTGGCAAACCGCTTCATCTTCGGGCTGCGGAAATGGAAACTGCAGCCTGTGCCAACTGATGTCAGATTCCGATGGAGGATACGTCTGGGAAACGTGTTCTTAGTGAATTACACAGAAAGCTCCCCAAATGAGGAACGCAATGGGAGGAAAATAACAAAAATGTGTTTCCCTCAGAGAAAGCTGTCAAACTGAAGGAGCAGATCATTTCCATTTCTCAGAAAAAGAGATGTCTCCACACCTCAGCAATTATCATGAAATTAAAAAAACAAAAAGATGCTTAATTCATGGTGATACTTGCTACTGTTATGTGCCTCCTGAGGAAATGACATGACAAGCTGGTTAGATAGAGTTAACTCTAGACAAGAGGACGACAGTTCATTATTTCTCATTTCTTGGTGGAAAAGAAAAATAGAATATGGCCAGACTTGCATTAGCATAATTCACTCCTAAAACTGCTGATCTATGCAACACATTGTGAGAGATGGTCACTGGAAATAAATTCAATCGCAATGTTTATTATTTTGTTCCCTCCAGTTCTCTTCCAGGAACTTGGAGAGGAAGAGTGGGTAGGACCCATGAAACCCAAGTTCAACTTCTGCCGTTTGTGTGGGAGCTCAGAGAGGAGGTTCTCTAGCCAGCAAATATGTCTCTAGCATGGTGCTCCGGAGAAGGGCACTTGGTTTGATTTAACATATGGCACAAATATTATCAATTCATAATGAAGCGAAATTTAAACCCAAGTGGAAAAGAGAGAGAGAATAGTTGTTAGCAAGAGAAAACGCTCACTGTCAAATTTGGCTGGCAAGACGGAATATATTCAGATACAAATCTGAAAGCCGAGAAGATCACCTTTTACGACAAAGTTGCTGTTGGGATGTCTTAGTACATTTTAAAGGAGAAATGTATTAACCGTTGTGCAATGCGTTCTGAGTGTCTTCCTTCATCCCTGATTACCCAGGACACTTGCCGGGCGAGGTGCCAAGGGCGGGGAGAGGGGCTCGCTGTCTGGGTCCTTCTGCTTCAGCCGCCTCTTCTGCCCCTGGAAACATCGCACTTGTCACGGTCACCACGGCTCCCACTAACGGTACTCGGCCACAGATTGGGAACGATGGCTGCAGGACCCACTAGTCGCTAACATCACGTATTCAAGTTTTTCATGCAAACACTCTTAATTAGAGAACAAAGGGATGGAAGAATCATAAAGCCTCTCACACAGAGACAGAGTTCTAGCAATATCCCTGATATCATCCAGTTCCCGTCTGACTGCCTTTTAAGAACCTTCTTTGCTAGAATGGTTCTCAAATCTTTTCAAGAATTTCCTTTTCCAGATTGTATATAAGAATAGCAGTGCTCTTAATATATGCCTCAGCCTCTCACAGGTCACACACTGGAGGACTTGATGGGCAGTCACGCTTTGACTGCACCCCAAATAATTTTCTGAATCACCAACATTCTGTATATACATGCATTGAGATTTTACATAAAAATTGGTATTTCTAGCTTCTCTAGAAAAACCAAAAGCTCCAGTGGTACTGTTCCCCAACAACCTTTCTTTTTGCCACAGTTCTGCCCTCCTCATCCTTGTAGATCCCACCCTCTGGCTTGTTTATCCTTCCTGCCTGCACCCTCCCCCAACCCCATCCGCCAGGCAACCGAGATGTGATTCTTGTAGTATGTAATCTTTTCAAATCTCCCCTGCTCTCTCACAGCTTAATAGAATTATATTGACACTAGGAAATAAAAGGAAGCATCTGACTGATGTCTTTTGCTCTTCCGTCCTTCCTCCTTTTTCCTGCCTGGTATTCGACCATAGTGGCTGGATTTTGAGCAGCCATCTTGTAACCGTAAGGCAACTCTGAAGCTTGAAGCATACGCTCAGGATGGGTAGGCAGAAAGACAGAAATTGGGGAGTTGATCATATTTCAGAGTCATTATCCAGCCCTAGAAGCCCCACTGCCAAGCTTCCTGTTAAATGAGAGAAAATTAGTCTCACTATTAAACCACCTGTAGATGGGTATCTATTCCTACAAGTCAAATGTAGTTCCTAACTGAGTCAGGGAGTATCACGTTAGGTAGTTTTCTCAGGGAAGTAACAGTACATGCCTGTTGACTTTCTTGAAAATTCCCTCTGCCTCATGGAAATAATAACCACAAGCCTCCCATTTCACAAACAGCTCCTGTAAACCAGGCAGTGGGCCAGATCCTTTATGATATAATACATCCCAACCTCATAACAACCCTGTGAGGCGGGAGAGATGATTACCATTTTACAGATGAGAGAACTGAGACTCAGAGAAGACAAGGGATTTGCTCAAAGCCACATAGCTATTAAGTAATGTGCTTGGCTCTGAAGCCAAACCCCAAAGCCTGTGTCCTTTCCACTGGGCTTTCTTTCCACCTGAAACTAACACAAAGTCCTTTTCAGAATCACTGTGCGAATATGACTTCAGGTTTATTGAGATGGCACAAATTCCTGCTGATACTTCCACATGCTATCCTATCAGGAGTATCAGAGGGCTAGAGTTAGAATTTATAAAATTCACTTACAGAAAAGCACATGACAAAGTGGTTTCCAATTCCAGACTTCTAATTATTTGCCTTCATGAATAAAACTATGAAGAGGGTAACTTTGAGTTACTAGATAGAAATATTAAAACCAATGATGAGAGGAACAGCAGCAGCATTGAACACTAGCAGATAGTTTCTCTAGATGTATAACATACAATCCTAGGGCCTGGTAGCTTCATCCCCATTTTCTAGGACCATCGAAGTTCAGAGACCGTCATTAACTTACCCAAAGTCACACAGCTAATAAGTGCTACTGTACTGCCCTCAAAGTGCCCTAGAGGGTAGAGGCAAGTTAATGAATAATCTTAGGAGGTTAGGGGGCAATGGCCTATTTTGTAGGATGTAGCAAAAACAGTTTCTTTGTCTTGTGCTTCATGCAAATTTTGTATTATACTTCATAATATAACCACATTATTTTTATGCTAGAATAAATGTATTAAATTATTTATCAACTGAATTATTTAACTTTTCTCTCCTGAAAATGACACTTTGGAAAGATAGGCCCTGCTTCTCTGCTGTAGCTTCATAAACACTCAGCGCTCAGCCATGCACTCCTGGGAGGACTTCACCCAGTTTAGGAAGCATGAGGTCTGTCTGAGTCCAAGGGGCAATTATTCATCTCCGGTCTCAGGATCCTGCTCAAGGTAGCACAGAATTGTCTTTTAACCACAAGCACAAGGTTGTGAATGCTGTCACATCTGTAGCATTCGTTAATTCGTTAAGTGAACAAGAGTGTACTATATGCCAGGCCCAGTGCCAGCTGCTGGGCCAATCCCAGCCCAGCGGGGCCCAATCTGGCATCACAGATTCTCCCAGGGGCAGTCAGGGAGAAGGGGCCAGCCAGAGGTCGGGCTGGTCTCCAGGCTGCCTGAACCCCAGCCAGAGGGGGCTGGTCTCACTGACCTGATGAAGGTACGGAAGCCTGTTGGTCCCAACTTCATCGTCCCCTTGATCCCCAGGAAGCGAATAAACAGGTTTGCCATCCTGTCCACCAGGCGCAGGTAGTTGAACTGCTTTGCATACTTGGGGAACACCTGCTTGAGGCAGATGGAGGGCAGGTGGGCGTCGGGGTTGGCGTTGCCCCGTGAGGCGCTGGCCAGATCGCTGTGTGGAGGATTTTCTTTTGAGGCTAATGGCTTTCCCAGCAGCTGAGACCTGTAACAAACAAGGAGTTAATGATAGAACCAACATTTAGAGTGGGTTTGCACACAGAACACTTTCTCTTGTAAATTCTCCTTTCCTTTAGATTTACAGCAATGGCGGTGGGAGGAGGGGGGAGTGTTTTATTACTATTCTTTTCTTTAATTAATTAGGCTGTGCTGAGTCTTAGTTGTAGCATGTGGGATCTAGTTCCCTGACCAGAGATGGAACCTGGGCCCCCTGCACTGGAGCCCAGAGTCTCAGCCAGTGGACCACCAGGGAAGTCCCTATTATTACTATTCTTATATGTATGAACCAGAAATTGACCTCAAAGAAGCGACCTGCCCAAAGAGTCATACCTGTATATATCTATGGTATTTACCTGATACCTAATTCATGTTGCCACATGGCAGAAACCAACCCAATACTGTAATTATCCCTCAATTAAAAGTATATACATTTTTTTTAAAGTTAAAAAATAAAAGTGACCTGCCCAAGCTCACATGACTGAAAAATTGAGCCCAGGACAGAGCCACAGGGCAAGAGACATACATTTCCTCTGTTCTACCATCTTAGTTTCCCAATATGGACAACTTCCTTTTCTGTACTCATGATTCAAGAGAATACTCAATTATGAAGGAGTCTGGGTTTGGTTTCGAATTCCTACTTATGGGTAGTAATTGAATAATTAGGAAATATAAAAATCTCATTGAGGGCTGGCAGGAAGCCATAGGCACAGTTCAATGAACAATTTGCAAAGGTACATCAGTTACCCAATTCTAGGAATAGGCACAATTACATTTTCTGGCTTAACTATTTTCTTATTTGGAACTCGTACCAAAAAAAAAGGAATTATTAGAGTGTTGTAATTTTGTGATTCCTGCCTGGATATTTCATCCTGAAATTTTCCTGAGAGTCAAGAAAGTTCACAGCCTCTCACACTCAGATATGCTCCTCCAGCTGGAATGTTCTCACCTGTAGACCCAATGATCACCTGTTTACCCTTCAGGATGGCCCCCAGTTACCTCCCACTGACATGGCTATTTCCCCTCCCCCGAAATCCACATTCCCCCGCTCCTCCAAGGTCACCACCATCTGCCAGTGACCCAAGCAGAAAGAATATCAGAACAAACACCAGCCCTTCCTTCTCCCTCTGCCTTCACGGCCTCCTTAGTGTTTCCTGGAACCCAGTCCACTGTCCCCACTGCCCTAGCCTTGTCTGTCCTCTCCTGGACTCTGGCAACAGGGCCTCCAGCCTCTGGCCTTTCCCATCCTCCACAGATTCATCCTCCACAAGGTATCCAAGGCCGTCTTCTAAAACAGACCTGGCAGAGATGCCCACTTCCGACACTGGTCATCTTTGAGGTTCCTGAGTGCCTGTGTGATCAAGTCCATAGCCTCCCTCTGGCACGCAAGCCCCTTCCCGCTTTCCTCTCTGCCCTCCTCATTTCTTGTCACTGCCCTGGACACTGTGACAGTTGTACCTTTCAAGGCCTTGACCGCTGCCGCCGCCCCAGCCTGCTGCCCTCTGGCCTGGCCTGGAGGCAGAGACTCGTGCTTGCTGGACACCCGGCTCCCTTCCACAGACAGTGCCCATCTCTGCACCTGCAGCTCCTCTTCCTTCCCTGTCTCCTGTCCTGCCCATAGCTGATGGGGTGAGGGTGGGGGAGGCATTACCCTTTCCACCTGTGTGTCCATTCCAGAGACAGAACCCTTGTAGTGGGGAAGAACAAATCTGACTCCATATCAAATCTGTTACTTCTACTTTAGCCTTTGTGTTCTATTGTTTTTGCTGCAAGTCCATCACTAAAGGGATGTTGCCGATAAGCTTAAATGACACACAACAGTCCGTCTCTGGGAAGTCTGTCTCCCATGGAATGAGCGTCAAGCTAAAATACCTTTGTTTAGTTCACAGGAAACCTCCTGACTAGGCCCACCTCTGAATGACTGCAGGAAGGAAGAAATTAACACATCCCCTCTGGAGTCTGACCGGAACCAGGACTTTAGCCACTCCCCTTTCAGTATAAATGGAGCCCGAATTCTAACTCAGGGAAGATGGCTCTTTGTGATGCCGGTCTACCATCTTCTCGGTCTGCTGATTTCTTGAATAAAGTCGCTATTCCTTGCCCCAACAACTTGTCTCTCTATTTATTGGCCTGTCGTGTGGCGAGCAGTATGAGCTTGGACTCAGTAACACCCTGAGCACAGTGTACACAGCCAATAAATACCGCCCAACTGGCTAAGAGATCCAGGAAAAGAAGAGCCGCATCCCACAGCACTGAGATCAATACCAAGGCCATTTTCTACTCTTCTTTATTAAATGGCCTCATTCTCAGAGCTCCCACTTCCAAGCATGCCATCAGTCACCAAGTCAGGCTATCTTGGTATCTTTGTACCTGCTTTCTGACTCAGCCTTTGAAGTCTTCCTTGGCCCTGGCTGCCTGGCACATTTCTGCTCCACTTTCGGAACCAGCTCATCTGTTCCCGTGACCACATTGAAGATCATCTTTCAGGTCCCTTGGACGTCTGCATTTCTCTAGTCAACTGCACTGTATTTGCTTATGTGCCAATCCCTCTCACTATTCTGTGAGCTCACTGAAGGCAAGGACCACACATCTTATTCAACTCTATTTCTTTAGGACTTGATACATATTAGGTGCTTGGGAAATGTTTCATTGAATTCATTGCATTGGGAAAGTGTGCTTTTAATAACAAGTGAAACTATCAGTCACTCAAGTCATGTCCGACTCTGCGATTCCACGGACTCTAGCCTGCCAGGCTCTTCTGTCCATGGAATTCTCCAGGCAAGAATACTGGAGTGGGTTGCCATTGCCTTCTCCAGGGGATCTTCCTGACCCAGGGATCAAACCCAGGTCTCCCGCATTGCAGGCAGATTGTTTACCATCTGAGCCACCTTTAAAAGCAAGGTAAGCGTCAAATAAAATATCAAGCTTATGATGCTCTGTATCTACCCCACAGGCTCGTTTAAATAGGAAAGCAGTCCGATAGAGAAACATTGTACTTGACGACTCTGCCAAAATGAACTTTTGTTCATGCTGGTTCAAGGAACCCAAGTCTGAAAGAGAACCCCCAGGTGTGAATAAAAGGCCCTGTAAGTTATGGTTCCTTCAAAGTGGGTCTCAAAGCCAGGACAGGCAGAACCAGAGCAGCTCAAAACCCCTTCTAAAGTTCAAGAACCAGAGCAGCTCAAAACCCCTTCTAAAGTTCAAAGGTGTGGATGGTTCAAGGAAACAAATGCCCCCTCCTACAAAGGGGAGGGACCTGATTCCTCCAGAGACGCACTCGCTCCCGGGGGGTGGGGTGGGGGGCGGGGTGGGATGGGAGTGGGGTGGGTGCAATTTCCCTTCAGCTGAACTGGTTTTTATCATCACCTCCTTGAATTTAAGACTGTAAATAAAAGTCAGGTGGTTACTCTTCAGGTGAAATAAAATGTTTTCACATTAAGGTTATAAGAAGAAAGATAAGAACAAAAAGCAGCCGCGTTACCGGAAATGAGCTCTTAAATTCCTGGATAAGTGGCAATCACTGACTTTATAAGAACTCATTAAGTTTTTGTTAAAGATTTTGTTGAAGGAAATGTACGGTTTGAATGCACTCCGTGACAAAGAAAACGGGCTGAGGACTCTTCAATCAACAGAACCGTCCCACTTTGGCGATCTCATTTGCTCTTCAGGAAACATGTGCGGTCCGCAGTGGTTTCTATACCCCTGTTCTAGATTGAGAAACTGAGACCCAGTAGGGTGCAGGGGCTCTTTGCCCTGGCTGAACTGGAGTTACACTTAAGTTCTCCTGACCAGGGCACTTCCCATTTTGCTGCCCTGTTTTTCCAAAGCACATCCTGGTTCACACTGAGGGTTACAAAACCCAGAGGACTGTTATTTATTTACTTTTTGTTTTTAAGTCGTTTTTTTAAATTATAATAATCATTATGCTCTTTATAGGCATGTTGAAAACTGTATAAAAGGATAAAAGGAATCAGAATCATTTGCAATCCCACAATTCAGGGATAAACACTAATGTTTTAATTTTTTAATCTGTATTTATAAGTTAGGATCACATTATGGGTAGTTTAAATCCTTTTTCTTACACTTTACCATTATATCATGTTTTCCTGTGGCCTTAAGTGTGTTTTCATGAGCGTAACCTCTCATGGACATAGGCATGTGCTAAGTCGCTTCAGTCATGTCCGACTCTGTGAGATCCCATGGATTGTAGCCCACGAGGCTCCTCTGTCCATGGGATTCTCCAGGCAAGAATACTGGAGTGGGTTGCCAAGCCCTCCACCAGGGGATCTTCCCAACCCAGAGATCGAACACCCCGTCTCTTCTGTCTCTTGCATCAGCAGGCAGGTTTTTTACCACTAGCGCCACCTGGGAAGCCCATGTAATATTCCATATTACATCTGAACCAGAATTTAATTGGCCATTCCCCCCTCAGTCAGATATTATCTACATGACTTGTCTTTGTTAAATAAGAGTCTGGTGACATACGTCCCCCAAGCCATGTGCTCCCTCCCAGAAACATTATACATTACAGCTAAAGACAGCTTTGAGATCATTCTGTCCAATGATGTCATCTATTTTCTTTTATTGTGGTCTAATGCACATAACATAAAATTCACCATTTTATTTTTAAATTTTTCTTGTTCTATTTCAAGACATGCTGGCTCTTATTTCCCAACCAGGAATCAAAACTTCGCCCCCATGCCTTGAAAGCATGGAGTCTTAACCACTGGACCACCAGGGAAGTCCCCAGATTCACCATTTTAAAGCATACAAGGCACAATGTTATGCAAACCACCACCTCTATCTAGTTCCAGAGCATTTTCACAACGGCGTCATTTTAGAGGAAAAAAATGAGTCCCAGGTAGACAGGACATTAGCACTGGTAGGTCATCTGACTGGCAGATCATTCATCCAGGGTAGTGGCCGGACCTTGGGTTGCCTGCTGAGGGGGACCCCACCACCTCCAGGGCACGGCTCAGGCTGGGATGA